CAGACTCTTACTGACTAAAAACCACCCCGTTCCTTCTCCTGCACGTCGAGTCGGAGCCCCGGTTACCCGTTAGGTTCTCCGCGACAGCTATATAGTATAGCTCAGCTCCAGCCTTTTGCGTTGCGACGCATAATGGGTTTTTTGTGTGTACCTGTATTCTTGTTGTGTGTCGTGGCGTATTAAATGGTTTTCTTTCTTTCTATATACCTACCACAGTTATGGAATTAGACAAGAGCTCAGTACCTAAAAGGCCTCATCATTATCGTCATAGAAATCCATTGCTGGACATCATCAACCTCTTCCATGGAGCGCCGTGCGTGACACAGATTCCATCTCGGCACCACCTTCCGCATACGTGACCATAAAACATGCTTAAAAAAATTTGGCAATTATTTAAACAAAAATAATGATATTTAATATCTGTTAAGATTGCGTGTTTTTCCTATGTTTACCTAATTTGAATTTTCAAAACAGGTTTTTTTTTATTGACCTCGCACGTCTATTTATACCTTCAAGTATTATATAGTTATGCAGTGTACTGTGGACCAAATTAATATCTTATTAAAATGTAAACGAAGTCGGGTTAAAGGCTGTCATCATACTGATATTATTTCGGAAAAGGACGAGTCTGTCGAGGCATCCTTAGTTAGTTTTAAAATGATGAAAAACATATTTTACCTATCTAAAAAAATAATTTACGACGCAATACATTGTATTTTGTTTTGTCATGAGTTTAGACTTCTTCAGACATTCTCTATCACCATGAACACCATAATGTAAGGCTCCTTCAACCTTTAACGTCCTCCATTCGTGTCTGTATTATAGGTTTTCTTTCTTTAACAAAAATATTGTCCCGCACACCTGCGCAGCCTGCACTAGAACTTTCTTCTGTGCCTTGAGTGCGTTTATAATAAACATATGTACCTACACCTGAAACTACAACTTGTGGATCACTTGACGAGTTGTTCTGTACGGCAACCGAACATGTTACAAGTTGCGTCGTAGACTCGCTACCGGTTACCCAGCCAGCAGTCACTGCGACAACCGTATAGTCAAAACCATTAAGCTCTTTGCAGTCCAGTACGACCTTCTTTACATCATCTTTTCAGCACATCTCTGGTCTCTTTCGTAAGCGTTTAGGTAAGTATTGCTCCACAGCTGCCATTCCAGACGTTTGCATTAAGACTTTTTATTTCGGGCTTTCTTGTTTTTAATGCAAATTCATTTGTTGGTTTTTCGGTTTGACAATGTGATACTTTATACACCCTTTCGCACCATTTCCAGTTTATTAGTAGACTGTTTTTAAATTGTTGGAATTTATTGGAATTTCGACACAGATCCTACAGTCACACAGCATTAGCACCTAAGTGCTAAGACCTACAAGCATGATTACCTGATCCTACGTTATTATTAAAAATAGTACCTACCTACTGAGTTTATTTGATGATCTCATCCCATCCATATTATGTGCACCTCCGATGATGCATTAGTTCTTCGCCGCAAAAACATCAAAAGGTAGCTAGGTTTTCGAAAGAAAGACTAGAGAATTTGGGATTTCCATTACACTAAAACCATTCCGGTGGGTGGTCACCGTAACTAGGTAAGTACTTATCTTATCTACAGAAGTAGAAATTATAGCTAAGTGATTCATATACAACAGATAGCAGTTATCTACCGATTGTCCGATGATTACAGGCAGTGCTGTAACTACAGGGTGGCAAGTGGCCAAAATGCCACGGGCCCCCTTTCAGAGGTTTTCATATGAACTTTTCTTGTTTTTATAGGGATTCGGGCCCATGCGATATAATATATATATTAATATATATATATATATATATAAATTTGTCACGGGCCTCAAACGCTATAGGTAGTTATGCCACTGATTTTGTATAGAAAAAGGGTCTTTTTTAAGTGAGGGAAAATCATACAATGACTTCTCCCGCCTTATGTAAGGCAAGAAAAAAATTTAGTTTTTGATAATAGGTAAAAGTAATGAATTAACGCGAAGTAGGATATAATTTGAACGCTGCCCAATATCCAGTCCAATTTCGCGGTTTCCTTTTTAATTCTAAATACTGACATGTATCCATACTGCATTATCTGCATAGGTGCTGATTAAGTGTTTATATGTATTTTATGATCGCGATTAGATTAGATTAGGGCTCAAGTATTTAAACATGATAATACATTACTTAGGTATTTTTGGTTATGATTAGTACCCGCTTCAGAACTGAAATACAAATTTTCCATTTACATTCATTCAAGAAACTATATCTAATATCCGCGTTCAGTCAGCGCATCAGTCAGCCTTACAGTGTACAATTAATATTGCTTCTTGATTCGACGCGCCGACGAGACTGACGTACACATTTTCGGACTTCGTGATTACAATATTAATTAAATTAAAATACTTAAAAAAATATTCCAAATAAGTGATTCTTATAATTTTACTATTAAATAATTTTAATTATATATATGGGCTGTTACTAAAATGGATACGTTAAAGTGGTTATCAGAATTATTTTGGGATGAACGCTGGTGGCTTCCTAATGGAGTAAAGTGGGCTGACGTGACCAATGGACCAGACAAAACTGTGTTACATCCTGACATAACTGACTTCTACTATGTTATACCTTTGGCGATTGGCTTACTCGTCCTAAGGTATATATTGAACATGTAAGTACCTAATTTACTTTTTAACGGACTTCAAAAAAATAAGCAGTTCCTTAATTTGACCCATATACGTATGTTTGTGTGCCATAATAATTAAAAATAATTTATTAGCACTGATAGGTTAGAAGTCGGTGCCATAAGTTCTAAACAAATTATTCATTACTAGTTGACCCGGCGAACTTCGTACCGCCTAAATATTGTTTTCTGACCTTTTAAACCTTCCCTGGACTTCCACGAACATTTCAAGACCCAAATTAGCCAAATCGGTTCATCCATTCTCGAGTTTTAGCGAGACTAACAAACGGAAATTCATTTTTATTTATATAGATAATCTTAATAGATGCCTAATATAAAGCTGTTCACAATTTTGTAACCACAAGTTATATCATTTTGGTATGCACTTTTGTCATCGACTTCTAACCTATCAGTGAGTTTACTTATCAGTACTAATAAATTCGTCTATAGTTTTTTGAAGTCGGAAATAAATTGTACAGTCCATTGGACTGAACAATTTTTTATTTTATTTAAAAGTACACACATACTGAAATAAAATCTTCGTTTTATTTATGATTTTGAAATTGCGCGCGGAAACAGTAGCCGCCAAGCTATTTCGACTTGTGACGTCACTCTGACAGTAAACAATATGATTTTGTTAAAGACTAAGTGGAAATATTTTGGAAAATAATGAGTTTATAACCTTTATCATAGGTGTATTGTGCCTGGATGATTAAGTAAACTTAATAACTAGACAATTTCTACTAATCTTCGCAAAGCACGACAATGTGTTTAATCGGAATGACAACGTCACGTCGCAGCCGAATATTTATGATATTAAAAAACAGATGAAAGAAAAAGGAGAGGGTACTATGCTAGGATTTTTTTTTGTTTGTTCATCTATTACTTCGTCAGTTGTGAACCAATTTTCAAAATTCTTTGTTTTGTTTCAAAAGTTACACTTCCGAAAGGGTCCCATTTTCACCAGATCAGGATCTGAAGATGGAAACCTAGGGAAACCGAGGAGAACGTTCGAAAATTGTAGGGGCGAGCAATGCGCCTATTATTAAAGATTTATAAATACTAAAATTTTACAAGTATAAGTATATAGAGTCGACCTGATGACGGAGCAGACAGACAGTTGAGGGAACTCCTCAACGGTATACAGTAACTACATTGTGTTAGAGCTTACCTAATTCATTTTTACTGATGAGAACTTCAAGATTGATATAAGTAAACTCGTTTTAAAAAATTGCGTAATAACCTGTTACCTCTGCTTAATAATAATCGGCATGGTATGATGAATGAAATATATTTTTTTCAATACTGACTCTACTAATTTTATGATTATTATTGATCGGCGACTCGAATAATTAAGGTGTTACGGCACAGTAAAACCGTGGCCTCGCAGATAATCGACTTGTAGTGAAAATATCGTTCCGTTGAGTTTCATCATATGAGTGAAGCTACCGGAGTATCTCTCCCAAAAACCGGGTAACACTTTTAACACTCGGATGTTGCGAGTGTCCATCCAATGATGAAAGGATGACCCATGGGTGGCACCTGCCTCTTAGGGAAAAATACTAGACAATTCATAAAATCACCCCTTTTTGAACTCTTGGCACTTGGACCGCTAAATAAATTATTTCTAGAACTCCCATGGTGAGATACTTCTTTAGGCACATTCCTTCCAATTTCGTACGTCTCCTGTGAGCCTCACTGTGCACGGCGACACCTGACCTCCGAGCAATCGTCTCCTTTAAGGTCCCTGTGTAGGAAGCTAGCCGCTAGATTACTTATTTTAAGCAAACATGACCTATTGCTTAACTCATGACTTACTTAGGTGATCACGTAGACCAAGATCGAATTGGTTTCTTTATAAATATCTATCTAACTAGCTTCTACCAGCATTCCCGTGGGATAATAGTAATCTTTTTTCAATTCTATTGACTGCCTCGTTGGCCG